ACTTGTGAGCTTTCGGCTTAGTTTTATTTCATTCGGTTGGAGTTTGATTCTAATCGACCTCTTCATTCACACTGTAAAATGAGGGATCGTCACGTGATTAAACCAATGCTGAACAACTGACAGGAATGGATTACTGGGGATATATAGCTTGTGCAACCATTCCCTCCCCACGGCTTCATTCATTGCAGTCGATCGCATTTTTTTTTCTTTTTTTCTTTTTATTTTCTTCTTTTGCATATTCGGAACTGAAACCTGCAGTTAATTTTTCTTATTCTTTTTTTACTTATTTGTTTTTCTAGGGTAATCCTTAATCTAATTTATATATTTTTCTCATACTTATTATGATTTTTTGATGTTCCGGAATTTCCGGGATGTTCCGGAATGTTCCATGTCCCTGGTTTTATCGACGACCGCTAAAATCTCGCATTTGGTTCTGAGAGGAATACATCCATTTTGAGTGAATTCATAGGATATGCAGAATTGACGGATTTCCGTGAATTTTTGCCGAAACATTCCAGGGATACTGACAAACGAAAACGTGTTGGGAAACTTTGACATTTAACATATTTTTCCCGTGGCGTCCATTCACGCAACACATCTCGCATATTTTTAGCCACTCCAACTTTCAGATATCTAGACAACCAATCCGAAAATCCAAAGAGCCTGACACACTTAAAATAAAACCTCGCTTAAATTGTATTTTTATCGTAAACTTCATTTTTTAAGCTTTCATCTGATATATAGTTTGTTAGGGTTGTATTGAAACTGGCGTGCCTATGAATTTCTTCCCATAAGACACCCCCGAAGATTAAAAGTAACCTTAACCGCAAGGTGCCCACTGTATAAGCAATAACGTAATCTTCTACATTCAAAGTGCCATTTTGAAATCCTACACGCTTAGAGACCTTGACAACGTTTTGCATGGAAATGTAAAAAATTCTCCGAATTTGATCTTGAGCGGACAACAACAAAGTATACAATCATCGTTTAGACTTCTCTCGATTCCTCCTTAACAGGCTTTTTCGGCGTATTGCTCTTCGCCGCCATCGAGCAAACACCCCATCGGATAGTTTTGTCAAGATATGTAATAGGGGGCGGCAATAAAAAATGCGCGTAATCCAGGCGGGCGGTTCCTCGTGGGTTCACCGCTATGTACGCTCCCGCTCAAATTGCTTGAAAAAAATTGCTTAAAGCGCCAAGCTACGCGGGCTAATATCTCCGTCGATAGATATTTTACCTGGAGCTAGCGGAGCACGTGACAATGGAATGTATCAGGCCTTCTTTTACATATTTTGGCCTCATCGCAGGCAGGCTTGACTACCTGAGTTTCTCGGGAAAAAATAACACTTTTAGGTAGATAGTTCCTTTATTTGAAAATTATGACACCTGAATCCGCTGTTCATATTCTATTCGGGGGCGCCGGGACCCTTCTTATTTTGGGTAAAAATCGCAGAGGGAAGAAAAACTGGCAGTGCAAGCAAAAAAACCGTTGCAATTACTTTGCCCGTCACCGGCATAGCCTGGTAAACATCTACAGCTGTAGGAACCAGCAACATTTACACAATGTATTTGGGCATGACAGGAATAAGACCCCAATTGACAAGTTAATAAAGATGGTGAATTTTAAGCTCGGTAATGAAATGTGAAGGTGAATTAATCAACATGA